GGAGAAACTAGATTATATGAAGAAAAACAGGACATCAAGCTTGGAGGAAGACTTATTAACAGCAATGATACAACGTTGCTTACTGAAAGTGAAAAGGACTTAAAATTCTTAATGATGAAGATCAAAGACCACAACCTTTGGTAGGGATTGCATATCAACTTAAAGAAAACAAAAATCCTCACCACTATACCAATAAACAATATCCATATAGTGTCAATATGAAGACTAAGGTACCACTAACCCAAGCCAGGGTATTTTCAATAACCTCATATGCATGTGAAAGTTTGATAGTGAATATTAAAGACTGTAGAAGAATTGAGTTGGATTTTAGTTATGGTGTTGGAAGAGAATATCAAAAGTACCATCGACTGCCAAAAGAACAGATAGTTCTGTCATGGAAGAAGTAAAGACAGAGTGCTCCTTGCAAGTCAAGATGACCAGACTTCATCTCTCATACTTTGGACATATTGTCAGGAGGGACCAATACCCGGAGAAGCATATCATATTTGGTAAAGTGGAGGATTGAAGAAAAAGAGGCCGACCTCCAACGAGATGGATTGGCACAGTGGCAACATCAGTTGGCTGAAATATAGCACCAATTGTGAGGTTGGCCCAGGACTAGGCAGTGTTTCATTCTGTTGTGCATAGGATTGCTATGAGTTGGTACCAACTCAACAGCACCTTACAAGAACTACAACAACATTTAACAGTGCTCTACTGACATTCATAAGGTTTACAGTGACTGATTATTTGGAAGTTGTTCATCTCTACTTCTTTTTAGTCTGTCTTAGTCTAGAAGCTCATCTGAAACCTGTCTACAATTGGTGAGTCTGCTGGTATGTAAAATGCCAGTGGCATAGCTTCCAATATCACAGTAACACACAAGCCTCCACAGTATTGCAAACTGACAGAGGAGTGGTGGTTGTTTCCACATATATACCACATGTGTTAGAATATTACCAGAAGTGACTTTTCAACTTCATTCACCTTTTGCATAGCCTATAAATGTTCTTCTGATCATATTTTAATAATGAAAATATGAGCTATGGTAAAAAAATCGTGGATTGAGTTTAGCAATGCCCTGGTAATTGGAAAATAAGCAACTGCTTATTTTATGCTCTGGAGCAGCTTATCACTAAGCCTGAAAGTACTGCAATTTCTTGTAGCAGGTCTGTACCCAAGCATGTGTGCTAGAGATGGGTAACATGTTAGGCAGATAGCTGCACAACCTGAGCACAACGTGAGCACAGATGGATTTTGCAACAAGATAGATCATCACCTGTGTGTATACTTAGGTAGATTGGTATTAGCTCCTTGTGAAAACTAGTGGTAGAAAAATGCAGGTGCACATTGGGGGTAGGGATGTATTTCCCTGACCCTGTGGGGAACCTGAGTTGTCAATTGGATCTGTCTAGTCCAAGCAAAGAGTCCTGGTGTACATTGTGGGATAATGTGTCAGACTGCAAAGGCATTTGAACTTCAAGGTCGGTGGTTCAAGC